CTAGGCTGCGTCCGATGACACAGCCACAGCCTGCATCTGCTAAAATACTGTGTCGTACTCATGAATTGGCATGTCAGCCTGCGATGCGGCCCATTCTTGAAGGGATGCAGCAGACACATGCCCAACTGCGCAGCTCTTGGTCCAACCCCCCCACTGCTGCTGCACCCCCGCTTGCCCTGCCGCATGGGCGCTTTGGGCAAGGGAAGGAGATTTATTAGTCGATACTATTGACCAATTTTCAGTGCGCTTGTCTTATCCTCATTTGTACACTTGTCCCCCCCCCAAGTCGCTGTCCTGATGTCCTCTTTCTGCTCCCCATTTTCCTATTTGTTTCCTATTATCCGGAACACTTCCGCTATTGTCTCCACACACTTGACATAGCACGATGCCATGATTCGGGATCTCTCCTGAGCATAGAACATCTATGCACTCTTTTTGTGTGGAATAATGATTTAATCATGGTTCACTTTTTTCTGTACAACTGACTAGGGTGTTGAAAAGCAGTGCAGGTCAGCGCGTGCGAAGGCACGCACTCTAGTATATAACTCGCGGCTAAAGTATCCTATACACTGGCAAAACGTTTTGGCTCGACAAGCATTATACACATCGTTACATAAGTTGTTCGGATAAACTGATATCGGGCCCCGAGAGCCTTGGACAGAGTGTAACTAGTACATACTAGTATGACTGAAGTACGAGTAACTTTTGCACATGAACTTCTTCAAACCGTTGTTACTCCTCCTCCATCACGAATTCATTCTGATACTTTTATGTACAATATACTAAAGAGGTCAGTCATGACCTGCCAGGCCATCGTTGTTGTTGTTGCACTTGAGTTGCAGGGGCGACTAAGCCAAGAAGCCAAGAAGTCAAGCCAAGCCGCGGATGGGGTGCGGATGTCTAATTAATAATTAGGCTGGTTTTTGTAACAAACCTAAAAGGGGGACAACACCAAATCAAAAAAGGAAATTCATGTTAATCCTGTTTTGAATTCTCGACAAAGTGCTTTGGTTTGTAAAAAGCCGCCGCCGCCGCCAAGGGGGTTACGAAGAAAACTGGTTGGGTAACTTATATGGGCTGATCGGTTTGCGAACAAAGTCGAAGCGGGGAACACGGTCTGACTTGTACCTTTTGTTTGTGCCTAGTATCGAGTATAGTAACTATGGTTCATGGCCTACCATTTGTGTGCTTCCCCCTGATTGATGTATCGACGTTGCACGTCACCTCTTTCGTCCTTTTGCCCTTGCCCCTCATTGTATCTGTTGTATGGTGCCTTTCACGCCACAATCAATGACAGGGTTGGCAAGTATAAGTTTATGCTGAGGCAAGGCTGGGTGATAAGGAGATAGGGTACATCCGTATTGTTAGCCCGTGAGACATGGGTACATGATGCGTTCCTGGCATGCCACTAACGTGTACATACAAATAGTAAATGGGCGGTTGAATCGTCTTATATAAGGTTCTTACACACACCTCTCTCGGTTATCATGAATATTCGTACATGAGAAACGTAATGATCATGTCATGAGAGAGTGAGAAGAGTTAGGTAGGAGAGGGTCCCCCTCGGGCTGGAGTCCCGTCCCGGGGTTATGTGCTATAAGTTGACGTGGTTACTGTGATTATGTTAATTTTAGCTGCGACCGGTCCGACGTATCAAGAGAGAGTCCAAGTTGGCGGGACGCTGTTGCATGATGGAAGCTACCATGCAAAAAATTAGTAATTCACCGTCCCCAAACGACGTAGGATAAACCGTAAACCGGCCTCACAACATCCACCCGGAAGACTTTCACACCGGGGAATTTGAAAAAGAAAGGGGAGGTATTGTTGTGTGTAACCCCCAGAAATGATCGTCTTAATTTGCATTTAATTCATATCATGTCAACCCGCCGTCAACCCATTCCAAGTAACTAGCGTCCAACAAACAAACAAACAAAAAAGGGCCATGTCATAGGTGTGTGTGTGCATATGATATGCAGGCCAGACATCGGGCATCGGGGACCTTCCCCTCCCCTCCCCCTGAGCCCACGCGTTGCCTTAGCTAAAGCCCCAAATTTATAAATGGCGCTTGTTGAGATAGGTGCCCTCAGTTCGTTCGTGAGAGATCGAACGTCCTCTTGGGATAGCTAGCTAGAGAGAACCTAGCACTTGTTAGGTATACTACCAGCCCCCCCCACACGGATTAGGATTGGGAAATTTAAAGAAAAAACAAAATTAGGCAAGATTGTAAGTACGTTCCCCCACCATGCTCAACACACGAGGAAGAACTAACGGTTCGGCACCGCCCCCCCCCCCGGTTGGCTTCTGCGAGGACCAGAATCATCAATAATGTTGTCGAGGATCGACAGCAAGATTAATTCAGTAGTAGTACAGATGACAGATGTTGCGCCGCTCACACCGACTTGGGTTTTTTTTTTTTTTTTTCAAGTGATCCATCCAGCCAGCGAGTTCTGCACTTGGATGGTTAGGCAATCCCTGGTGGTGATGTGGTACACGATTGATTCTTCAAGGAGAGCGACGGAAAAAACCATCCCTCAGCCCAACGCTGCAAGAAGATCCGAGTAAGCAAGTTGATATGTCCGCCTGGACCATGCCAGCGTAAGCTCAGCCGTTACCACAATGAAAAAAATATTTGTTGAGAATCGAATGTTGACTATACAACTTCAAATACAGCCAGGAGGAACCGTGAATGAAAGGGCGGGAAAAAAAATTACTGCAAGGGGGGACACGGCAGCAGGTCTGAGTCGAGTTGCCAAAAGCATCTGCAGAAATGCAAGGACGTCGGTGCTGGACAGCTTCACATCCCTGTAAGAGCAAGGAGATCGAACACATTGTCACGACGTCTGCGAAGAAGAGGGAGCCCTCCTCTTGGGTTCTATTTATGTACCTAGATCTCCTCTCTTGGAAACCTTTTTCTGCTTCGAGGCAGAGCTTGGCATCGGATAGAGAATAGACTATGCTCTAAAAACCCCCCCACTCATGAAGCTGCCAGTCCATAGCAGCTGCTCCGCAAACCTGAGAATGCGCACCCTAGGCAGTACGCGACAGATGCACAGGATACGACACCTTGGAGTGAGTCACATGGGAGGGGGACTTGAAAATAAACGCTGGAAATGTGGGTCCAGGACAATACATACAGCGACTCAAAGTAAGCAACGACGCCGTGATCGCATAACACAAAGATGTACTCAGTCACTGGACACATCGAATCCAGCTAATACCGGTATTCTCTCTCGGTACTTTCCTCACTACGGCGTCTGGCCACGCGCGCGCGACGGATTGCACAGGCCTGCCGGGGGCCCTCAAAAGTAAAACCCTGGGCAGCACGCAACAAGACGCGCGTGATAGAGCAACTCGAGAGTCGCAGGGCCTTACCTGTTTGCGGCGGCAAGAATAATGCAGTAATTGCACGACACAACATGCATCACTGGATATCGCATCAATCCAGCGTATTGGATACATCGAATCCGAATAGATCAAGCTGTGTAATACCAATACTGTCTCAGCAATTCTTCTCAACAGGGGACGTATGATGTGATAGAAACGGCTTCAGTTCAGTGGCGGAAAAACGTTCCGACCACCACCGCAGCTCGGCACAGCTGCGAGCACTCACGCATTTCTACCGTGCATTGTTGTGACGGAGCTGCAAGGGCAAGGGCTGCTTACCACTCGGCGTCGTCAGGACCGAAGGCTACATACCGTGCTGCTTTCACCTTAGCAGGGCACAGCCAACGAGAACCAGACGTACCCTTTGCACGATGTCGTCCCGACAGCACACGTCGTGTACGGCGTCCCACAAATACCGCGCTTTCCCTATAAACAAAAACTCGGTAGTTAGCTATAATAAAATGAGTGACTTGGATCTCACCTGGTGTAAGACACAATAAATTCGGCCAGCGTAGCCTCTGAACGCTACCTAGTCCCGTGGTTCTCAGAGCACCGGTTCTGAATCGAGAACCGAACCCTTGTTTGCGTCGCCTGTGTTGGGAATGTGAGTCACCGGAGATATCCGGGGAGTATGCGGACTATGTAAGCGCGCAGCCCGCACAGGTTGTAGTTTGTCCTCTCATGTAATTCATTCTTTGGGCATATACGCACGGACGTTAACCCCAAATCACCAGTTATATTTCTTGCACCTGTGCTACGAGTGAGCTAGGAGGCGGGGTTGCCATATCCGGAACGCCGTTTACCACAGCCCGTAAACCGTATAGCCACAGATCCCATTAGTTTACCCTAGCTGACAGGATCCATGGGATCTGCTGTGGCTTCATACCAGGGTCGATCTTCCATTGATGCATCTCAGTTGACGCCAAACTGCGGGTTTTTTGCTGGAGTATTACTGCGCCCACCCATCAACGTCTCCTCCATTATCAGCCATGTCACTCGAGCAAAAGGTTGATGGTCTCGACGCAGCCATCCGAATTCTCTCAGCTATCGGTCCTGCGTCCTGCGTGTTCCCTCCTCTGCAGTCTGCAACTGGTATCGCACTCTTTATCCTGTATCTTGAATGGAAGCTGACAGTTATTGCTCTATAGACGTTCAAGGAGAATAAGGAAAAATGGGAAGATTTCGGTAGATACATCGTCAACACCATGGCTGATGTGGTTGAAGCCATCAATTCATATGATACATCAAGCGAGGAATCAAAGTCATGGATGGAAAGTGTTACAAGATTGAGCGAGTAAGCAGTATTTGTTCTACACAGCCTGGCTGTCTGTAACGTGGATGTCCTATAGGGCATTGCAGCGCATCCAAACCGGGGTCGGGCGGCTGCGTCAGAAGAGAGAGAGACGCTCCGCTGTCGTCAATCTCTTCTCTCATATGAAGAATCCAGACAGGATTGATAGCCTAAGGAAGGATTTCAATGAGGCTTTGACATCGTTCCAGGTCAGTAATGGCGCTTTGATCATTTGTACAGTGTTAGAGTTGTGATCATGTAGGTGAGGACGAACCTGACAGTTGGCGTCATAGCAAATATCACTCGTGAGGCGGAGAGCGCTTCAATTCTCAGTCAACTCCGGTACCCTGCCGTCGCCCATCACGATTCAACTGAGGCGTGCCTTCCCGGCACTAGAATAGACCTCCTAAACCGTATCATGGCATGGTGTCGCAACACGGAGAATAGCGAGAAACGTGTAATGCTTCTGACCGCTGTGGCTGGCGCGGGAAAGACATCCATCGCTCACTCCGTCGCAGAGGAGTGTACAAGAGAGGGTATATTATTATCGACCTTTTTCTTCAGGGCATGCGAACAATCCCAGCCAGACCACTTATTTAGTGGCATGGCTAGGTCTTTAGCAGCTCGTGACCACGCGTACGGCACGTTCATCACATCCATTCTTCGGGAAGACCCAACTCTCACGACCGCCCCGTTCACAATGCAATTTAAGAAATTGGTTGCTGAACTCCTCCTCATGAGACCCCCATCTTCCGATCGCCCAATGGTAGTTGTCATTGATGCGCTGGACGAATGCGACAAGGGTACATTCCCGCGTCTCGCCGATATACTCCGAAAAGAAGTGCCTAGGTTACCGTCCAACATCAAATTCTTTCTCACCTCGAGGCAATTTGATCTTGTTGATCGTTTTCTTTCACCCGAATCCCCTATCGATCGCCTTGGGATCAATCTCTCGGACGATGCTAACGTGCAGGACTGTGCAATGTATGTCCGTACCCAGTTACGCGAACTGATGGATGTACATCCCAGTTTGAGAACCGAAGTTAAGCAAGAGGATGAATTGGTTCAAGCCATACTAGAACGGGCGGGTGGCTTGTTTATCTGGGCCAGTACCGTCTTCCGTTACATGAAGGTGGCCAGTGGTGCTCCTTTGAGGATGCTGGGGAAACTGCTCGATACTGGTGCGAACCAATTGAAGGCTTCCGCTGAAGAAATGGTGGACACATTGTATGCGAGCATTCTAGAGAAGTGCAATTGGAAAGACGAAGATTTTGCTCACGACTACCCTATTGTGATGGGAGCGATCCTAATCGCACAACAACCACTATCTATTACGGCTTGGGGCGCCATTTTGTCACCACACCTGGAGTCTTCTGTCGAACATACATTAGTCGGGCTTGCTCCCCTGCTCTTGGGGCTTGGGGATCCTCACACGCCAATTCATATCTTGCATCTCTCCTTGCGCGACTTCCTCCTGGACCGAATCGATTCACAATCACCCACGCTTGCTCGTTTTGCAGTGGATGCGAGGAAGGAGAATGTCAGGGTAGCCGTGCGCTGTGTCGAAATCTTGAATGAAGATCTTCCTTCTATGGCAGGCTTGGGGCTGGTTGAAGATTTGTCGGAGAGGGTTGAGCTGCCACCCATTCCTCAGGCAACGTTGTCCGAACAGTTCCGTTACGGATGTCGGCACATCGTGTATCACCTAAATCAGATCCCTAAGCCGGTAGATGTGCTCAATGTGGCGGTTCGCAGATTTCTCAATGAGCAGATAACTCGCTGGGTGGAAGTCTGTGCGAGAACGGAAGGGTACATTAGCATATCATCGTACCCTGAGTGGGCCAAGGTATGGATCGTCAATAAGATTTCTGAACCATTCTGATCGGTCATATGCTCCCTCAGCTGGGTATGGGCGTGAGTTCAAAGGAAGACATTCACAAGTTGGTCAAAGTGTTCCACAATAAGAAATCTGGTGTTCTTCTCAAGATTTCAGGAAGCATGTGACTTAGCAAGTGATTCTGTTGCACTTTGCCGTTGTCTTGTAATGGTTGCTGCAGAGACCTATTGCCCTGATCTAGCTGAATCACTTGGGAATCTTGGGGTGTCACTCAGCATACTCGAACGGCGTTCCGAGCTGCTTCCAGTGATGGAAGAAAGTGTCAAACTGTGGCGCCAGTTGATTTCCATCGACCCGGAACTCTACGCCCCAAAATTAGCCCACTCACTCAATGAACTTCATTCCCTGCTCCATCAACTCAGACTTCCTTGTAAGGCACTTCCAACGATCCAAGAAGGTGCCAAAATTTGGCGACAGCTAGTCGCAGTTCATCCCCCATCTCACACCCCAGGTTTGGCTCGCTCGCTCCGGAAGCTCGCTTGGTCGCTGATGTTGAACGGGCGGGGTTCCGAAGCGCTTTCGGAGATGGAAGAGGGCGTCAGACTCTGTCGCCAGCTGGTCTCCGTAGACCCAACGTCACATACCCCGATATTAGCTAGAACGCTCTGGGGTCTTGTCCTCTTACTCGTACATCTTGGACGGCATTCAGAGGCGATTCCAGTGGGCGAAGAAAGTGTCAAACTTTCTCGCCAACTCGTTTCCATTCATCCGACATCATGTGCCTGGTATTTGGGCTGCGCACTCATGCATTACGGTCATGTGTTCTACTATCTCGGGCGGTACCCCGAAGCACTCCTTGTGCACGAGGAAAGCGTAGAATTGTGGCGCCAGCTTGCTACAGTCCATCCAACATCATATACGCTTTTCGTGGCTGGATCGCTCGAGAATATCAACGAGACACTCTCCAATCTTGGACGACACTCTGACACTCTCTCAGTGATCGAAGAAAGTGTCGACCTTTGGCGCCAGCTGGTCGCGATGCATCCCGCATCACACAACCTGGATTTGGCGCGATCACTCGTGGATCTTAACATGTCACTCTCCAATCTCGGACGGCATTCTGCTGCACTCGGGGTGATCGAAGAAAGTGTCAAACTCTACCGCCAGCTAGTTGCGGTTCAACCTGGACCATTCACTGAGGGTTTGGCTCAATCACTCCATAATCTTTCCGTGTCACTTAACAATCTCGGACGGTATGCCGAAGCCCTTCCGGTGATCGAAGAAAGTGTCAAGCTCTGGCGCCAGCTGGTTGCCCCTTATCCGATGCCACATACCCCAAATTTGGCCGCATCACTCGAAAGTCTCAACGAGTCACTTGACAAACTCGGACGGCGATCCGAGGCGCTCTCAGTGATTGAAGAATGCGTCAAACTCAGTCGCCAACTATTCGCCATCCACCCAACCTCATACAATCCAAATTTGGCTCGATCGCTCAAAAATCTTAGCAAGTCACTCAACCACCTCGGACGACATTCCGAGGCGCTCCCAGTGATAGAAGAAAGTGTCCAACTCTGGCGCCAGTCGGTTGCCATCCTTCCAGCATCGCACACTCCGGGATTGGCGCGATCACTCCAGAGCCTCAGCAGCTCTCTCCACAACCTGGATAATCACGCTGAGGCCCTACCTTTCATAGAAGAATCCGTCGCCCTTTGGCGGTCGCTATCTGTTGCTCATCCAACATCATATGCCTCTGACTTGGCCTTGGCATTGCAAACACTATCAACTCAATTTTCATGCCTTGGCCACTATGCAGACGCGCTTGACATGGGAAACGAGTCATTATTATACTATCTCCAGCTTCATTCCGAATACCCTCTTGCCTACGCGCCTCAGCTTCAGCTCTCGTACTCCTGCGTCGCTGATGCATTGGAGGGTCTTGGAAGGCACGATGAGCTGGCAACCGTACGTACTCTCATTCAAGATTTGCGACGGCACGAATCGCGACTTTTCGGTGGCTTGAAGTCGAAACCAAATGAAGAGGCCAACAAATTAGCGGCCATGGAGGCAATCTCAAAACACGAACCGACCCCCTGACGTAACAGAGGGCCAACGATCCCTTGCCGCTTTGAACGGAACAGACACAGCACCCGAGCTGGCAGGTCCGAATCCGTCCTGGAAACGGAAACGGACAGACATGAGGCTGGAGTGCAATGATCCATGTACGAGCACAAAACGTAATGTCAGACTGCGTAATTGAGCAATTGTGACCTAAATTTGTTTTACCCTAATATGTTGACCGTTGATGATGACCAGAAACAGCGAATCGTTGAGGCACATAACAAGTCTGGGGTCGTCATAGCCCCAACCCTCGGACAACCACGGCTAAACTACACGCGATCGTTATTCGACGTCTTGCCGCTTCACACTAGTGCTCGTTGTCTACTATTTGTTATTTATCACCTGTCTGACAGCTAATCGATTACAATTGTTACGGTTAGGCAGCCCTACTGAGCTGTTGTCGACTCATAAAAGCGAAAGACATCCCCCAGCCAGCAAACATAGCTGTACAACCTACAATACGTCTCAAAGTGATGGAGAGCTGCCAATGGAAATTCAGACCGCCATGATCCTGAGCAAGATGACAAAAGAGATCGGAACCATGCCCCCTTCCTTGACAATTCCCGAACAAAGCATGATCCACCCACTCTTATATATGCACGAAGCCGTACATTCATAAAGTATGACTGGGGTATCAATCGAACATTGCGAAATTTCTGGAACGCGTGCCGGAATTATTGGCAGTCTCGTCTCAAGAACAAACGGGATCGTTACAGGCGAGGTTTCACCACTTTATCAGGCATGCTGCTAATTGTGGTGGCTCCGTCGAACTCATCGAATAACAGACATGTCAACGACAAAGGGATAGGACCTCATATAAATGCCTGTAATCAGGCAGTAGCTGCTCCGTGGTTCTTTTCATTTGGAAGGCGCAAAATAACCGCGTGGGGTTTATGAATGTATGGAAACTGCTGAGGCGGGGCCCAAGAATGTGCTGCGCCTGAGGGATTTATTTTATCACCCGACACCTTTCTGGACTCACTGTGGGCAGTGAACATAGATTCAAGTGACATGACAGCATGATCGCGGCCCTGGAAGTCCCCTGGCGGAGGCCCGGATATTTCCAACTGCACGTTAAACGCGCTCTCAGACCCGGCGTGATAAGTGGCACAAGCGGAAACAAAGCGATAGTGACAGTGGGAGCTGAATTTAAAGTCGTTGACATAGGCAGCGATAACTTCGAATGACGGGAGCGACTGCATTGGCAGGTGCAACCCTCAAATGTCGGCTCTTGGGGCCTGTCGATGTGGCAGCCAGCATCGTCGGAAATGCCGATTGAAAGATTCTACGGGACCGTTTGCTTCTCCATAATACGATGTCCCGATATAGACGCATGCAGTTCCGACCAAAACCGCTGCGGCCAGTCAAACCCCTACAAGTGCAGCTCGTCTCAGACGCGAGTATCTAGCGTTTGCGACGGCGAAGCAGTCAAGTGTATGCTATCGGTAAGCATAAAGAGTAATTTGCATTGCTGATAGGTGATCAAGCTTGCGTGCCGTGTCTAACTTTGAAATCTCTGCTGCGCGGATGCCACCGCCAATGGGGTACTCAGGTCGGGATTCCTCCGAATGCACCATGATGATGTCTGTATCAATGACGTACGCACGAACACTTGGGCTCGGAACTGAATATGTAACTATTACGGAAGCATCCTTGGCGTATTATACAATCGAGACGATTGAGATCTTTGGCTAGAGGTACATTAATACTGTATCTTCTTGTTACCACCTTGGAGCTTTACTTGGGTGGACCATCCTGGTCCAAGCGTACTCGTACTGATTTGCAGGCTTAGCGACGACTCCAAGCTGCATCGCGGACTAGTCAGCAACGGAATGAGGAATCAAAACAATCAGCATCGGGATTCTGTCTTTCGGAAAGCAAATATTTGGCCACGTACATGTAATGTGAGAGCCGGGTTGCGCAAATATTCACGACCAGCTCGGATGACGTCTGCCTGACCCTTCTGCAAGATCTCCTCGGCTTGCTTCCCATTCGTAATCAACCCAACACCACCAATCAGCACATCAGGATTTTGCTTCTTGATGTACTCTGACAGCGGAATCTGATAATTTGGTTTAATAGGGATCTTCTGCCCTATCCACAAACCACCAGAACTGATGTCCACGAGGTCCACACCAGCTTGATCCTTCAACAAGCGCGTGAGTTGGGAACTCTGCTCGACGCCCCACTGCCTCCATTCTCCGGAAGATTCATCCTTCTCAGGGCCCTCAGCCCAATCCGTCCCAGAGATACGGTAGAAAACGGGGTAAGACTCGCCGACCTCGGCGCGGACACGCTTGGCGATATCGAGGCCAATTCGAACGCGGTTTTCGAAAGAGCCGCCGTATTTATCGGTGCGGACATTGGCAAGGGGGGAAAAGAACTCGTGAATGAGGTACCCGTGAGCCGCGTGGATTTCAACATAGTCAACTTGACAAATATTTTTTCCAAAACCAGACACAACCTAATGAGGGGTTACTCACAACCAGCTTGCTTTGCGCGACGAGCAGCCACGCCAAAAGCTTCTACAATCTCCTCGATCTGCTCCTGGGTCAGAGCTTTGGGCTTGGGGTACATTGGGATGAATTGAATGGTGGAAGGAGCAAAGACCTGATCAGGCCATCCACCCTCTTCGGAAGTTGCGACATGACTCTTAGGGTTTCTATCTTCTCTGTGTATATCCTCCTGAGCCCAAGGTGCTCGAGTGCTGGCTTTCCGACCCGCGTGGGCCAGCTGGATCCCAATAGTCGTTCCTTGAGCGTGAACAAAGTCGACGACGCGTTTGAGTTGGGGAATGTGTTCATCCGACCAAATACCTGGGTCTTCTGGACAGGTGCGGCCTTCTGCGGTCACTGCGGTGGCCTCGACGCCCACGTTTCCAGTGCCTTGGATGGCAAAGCTCTTAGAACGAAGGGAATAAGTATCTTAGCGAATCACTAAAGGGGTATCACATAGACTTACTCCAAGGTGGACAAGGTGCCAATCAGTCATAAGACCATTCACCGCGCTGTACACACACATGGGCGCCTACAACAATTCGCTCGCGTCAGAAATGTGGACATTACAGAAGCTGCACACGGAGTTTGACCTACCACCCAGAGTCGGTTCTTAAACGTTACACCCCTGATAGTCAACGGTTGGAACAATATTGGCAAGTCCTTGTTCTGCGGATACTCGTCCTGTACAATAGCAAGGGTGAATTGAGTGCGCGAAGCTATCGTTCGACTGATTTGCTCACCACTGGTAAAGCTGTCCCTGGAGCGGGCTCGCTCAACGGATAATACTCATTAGCGTTGGGCACTGAAAAACCGTATCATCAGTGCGTGTAACGCATCCATTCATGCCACGTACCGTGCTTGTTTGGGAGGAGACCTCCAGGTGCGCGAAACCTGTCGTTCCCATCCACTGGAGGGAATTCGGGAAGGGACTTGGCAGGAGGAGAGGCGCAGCTGGACATTCTAGTTATGTTGAGTTCTCTGACAAAGCTGAAGACATCCTAGACTGTACACTATATATAGGAGGGAACTCCAGGTACGTCTCATCTACGCCTACATCTGGTGACGGGGATCACCGACGGGAGAATCGCTGATTGGGGCCGCTCGGGTCGGCTCATGAAAGAAGCACAAGACTGAAGCACAAGACTGAAGAATCACGCTACGATGCACAAGCGCCGATCATTGGAGGAACAACAAACACGAAGCTGGTGGCCGTTTGAATACAGACCAAACTTAACCGCATCGTTGTACCCTATCGGACAACGGTGTTTTCATTGGAGATTACCATATCGCCGCTAGTATGCCCCGATTGTATTCTAGATCTAACAGTGTCGGGAATTTTAATAATGGTTCGTGAGACAATTGCAAGGATCCGGATCGGCAAGGGGAGATGCTGTTGTAATTACGCGCGAAGTTTTAATTAATTTAGGTACCACTATTGTTGTACGTCCCTATGCACACATATATGGTGTGGCGACAATGTTTCGGTAGGTCAGCTTGGGCTCTTGACTTAGCCGGAGCACGGAGAAATATATATCCAGGTGTCCACGCGAATGGGGTGGCGGAGATTGGGCTAAATATAATGCATGGCCCGTGGTGCTGGTATAATGTAATATAAGGCCTGGACCACTATGTGCATCAAAGACTGTATGGAATCCTCCGCACCCACTCTTCCAGGTGCAAGGTTTCTCGTTATAGATATACTTCTTTCCGCCTAGACATGCAAGGTGCCACTACCAAAAGCAAGCGCTCGAATGCTTTGGATGCCGATCAGTAGTTCAGGGATATGGTCATTCATGACGATACAATACATGATTATGTATAGCCTGATAGCCGGCCCTTCTAATCTGTTTTTTTGGCTTCTCTTCGGGCGCAGAGAGATCTGGAGCTTGTGAAGCGGATCCGCTGGGTGGATTCGGGTGAAAGCCTACACAGCCCAGAGGCCCAAGCAAATCTCGAGGAGGTTGGCTGGAGGGTAGTTTTCTCCTCGCTCGCGTCTGCAGTGAAAGCTGGATGAAGAGCATGGCTCGAAGATTGAATTGAGTGGCGCAAGGTCCCCTTAGTAATCCACCTATAGTATTAAACGATACAATCTTATGGCACCGTTGTTTCGAATGCATACGCATACGTACGATGAAACTTATATGGCAGCCCGGAGCCTATTGGCACTAATTTTTAAACGATATAACCTGCGTGTCTACGGAGGGCCCGGGGCTCTGGACTGACGACCGGATTTTTCGGAGTTTTTGGTGGATTGGCGGGACTTAATTGTGAGGGAGGGGATGTATATGTACATCTTGGGATTACAACAACCCTGATGTCTATATTCTTTTCTGTTGAATAAGATGTAAGCTGAGTGTGGGTGGGAACTGGTTCAACCACGTTCCCGAAAGTGGTCGATGGGCGGGTGTGCACGTGTGCAAAAGGATTTAATAATCAGTGTGATAATCGGTGTTTTTAACTAGCGAGGTACGTCCATATATACGTGCTTTTCACGCGCTGGGCCTGTTAATCACGACTCTCATATAATTCCCATTGCGTTGGTTCGTGTATGTGTAAAAGGGGGCCGAATTTCCTGGGCACATTCGCTATAATTAGAAGGTGAGGTCCTACCAAACCCAACTGTTATTGCAATAGTACTACGTGCTGAACATAGTAAAGCATTTTTGCTTGAGAAGAGTTCCTGGTGTGTGGCTTTCTCGGGTAGTTAGCGAGCCAACTACTAGTTGATTGGGGTGCATAGCGGTAATTGCATATCGGCGACGTCCTCCCGCAGCTATTTCATGAAGATTTTGACACTAGCTCATTGCCCAATAATGGGCGTGCGTGAACACCGCTGAACGTTGGGGAAATGTGAGATAGTCAAATATTACTTCGCCGGTATGTGCAGCTTACATATATCATATACGCCGTGTCCCTTGGCTGCGAATATCTCGCGATAATTTTCAACCCTGACTTGCTGTTCGGTGATGGACATGCTCCCGCTTAATGCAATTAGTTTCTAGTTTTTAGGACCAAAGATGGCCCTAAACAATTTGCCACTAAACCCGCGGCAGGAGTCTAGGGTTATGCAAGCATTGGGCCGATGTCGGACCAGATGAGAGTAGATTGCTGAGATGGCACAAACGTATGTGAATGCACATGTGGAGGTCGATTTCCAACAAGGAGATCCTGGATCATGGGACTCCTGGGCACGAGCGAACCTAGCGCAATCTAATGGGCTTAGCTAGCTGTTTCCGGTCACTCCCCCCGTGCTCCCCCGTTTGAGGTCCGTCTCATCCAGTTCGAAACCTCAGCGTGAGCCGATCTACGTCCTTTTTCATCACCTAGCAGATCAATAGACCTTGACATCACATTGAACGGTGTCTGCATAACCAGATTTATTTCACAGCTGTCCGGATCCCGACCGTTGCATGCAACATATGCGTCCCGGCGACACCGGCGGTCAAATAACCTGGATCCAGCCCTTGAAACATCTGCAAGCCATACCCTCACTCACCCGAGCCAGATGATTGCCTCTCGAACTCAGCCCCATGGCCTCTCGTAGATGGTGCTCCTTTGGTAGTCCCTCAGCACTCCTGGCAGCTCGGAGACCAGCGAAAAGCGGGTCTAGTATCATGAACTCGCCCCCCAAATCATGTTTAATTAGGAAGAGAAGGCTTGATAAGCTTCCGACTATCCTGGACGTCGTGGCCTTCTTGATTGAGGGCCACACAATGTTACATCAGCACCCGTTATACTAATCCTTACTAAACGATCGGGTGGCGAGTAGCTCTTGTATGGTAGAGGTTCTTGAGCCACTGTGTTCCCAGGCTTGTGGATGAGCAATGAAACGACTGCAGGGCCTTCGATATCTGACTGGAATCTCAAACGCTTCTCGATGTTCGACTATAGTAAGTCCATGCATCCGGAAGATAGTATCGAGCTCAAGTGCTTCTAACTCTGCTTTGCTGCAGGCCGGTATCTTACCCCATCGCCGTGCCCATATACACAAACCCTGCACAAGGGTTCGTTCTTCGTGTACGGGATACGCCGTTTCTTTTCAATTTGCAGCCTGAATGTGGCGCCCGTCATGAATTTGACATCCATCAGCGGTGGGAGCGGGCACTCCATGCTCAGTCGCAGTATGAAAGAACCGGTGCATCTCTTCTTCCATTCGGTTACCATGATGACCCCGAGAGCCGCGCAGGAACTTAGCGCCCGATTCCAAGTTGAACGTTCGTTAACTCAAATTAAAACAGTCACATGATACAGCTGCAGGTAGAGAACGCTCCCTCATCCAGAGAAATACCAGTTCCTTCGTATCGGGACACCTGCCTTGAGGGACTCGAACGCTTCAAATAAGGACAAGATATCTTAATAACGGAGTCGATGAGGTCAAACACGGAGTGGAAAGCATTAGGTGGACGTAGTGGTGGAAAGGAATCTAAACAGCATTTGGGCAAGGGAGAAGTGCAGGGAAACGCATCCCAGGGAGTATTGACAGGGCTTAAGGATATCAAGACTTGGAATATGAGATATATCTGACCATTGAGTGGGCACTCAAGGCAACATTCACATCAGCGAGATCGTTGATGGCAGGACAATGGAGATCAGATCGGACGAGTGAAGGCGTGGAAGATTGCAGAATCGAGCCACCTACATAGTGACGGACCACTTGGGCTTCGGCAGCCAGGAGTGTCATGGGACGACAGGGGTAATAGGAGGTAGACGTGGTCAAACACGTTGCTCACTACAGCAATACCAATCCCTAGGCTCTGTATCAAGAATGGCTACTCACCATTGGGTTTGGGTATTGGGTAACCAGAAGAACATCATTGCTTCTTACCATGTAACCTTCGGTTGACTCATGAACAGCGTGAGCCGGACCGGTCGGCGCATTGATTCAGTTGCTTGATAGATGTTATTGTACGAGGCCAATGCGTTATGTATATGTTGGAGGAACGAACCTCAAAACGCATGTGTTTACACCTATTTACATCGAGCCTTCCGATTTGGAAGTCTACCGTCTCATCCCTGGTGTTTTTAACATTATACGTCTGCATGCTATAGGCACCGGTGGGTGCATAGCTACCGAGCCCGTGGTACGGTGTCCATACCCCGAGGCTGATTCACCGGTAGAAAGCGCTTACTGATCATCTGCGTGAGCCTGGCGGCGAGTTGCGTACCTGTAAAGGGTTTTTGTTCGTTGTCAAGTCTAGAGATCCAGATCCCACTCGGGTGAAACAGCGCACAAAGCCTGCAGCAGCGCGCTGCAGGTGTCCTGAATTTCAACTTGGTTGACTAGCGGTTCGGTAGCCGAAGGCTCTCAATTGAACGAGCAGCGCTCAGCTGATTGTGTCACTTTACACGTGCCTACACCCGAGTAGCCCCCAAAATCTATAGCTTCGGTCTGTGTTTGGAAGAACTGCCTCAGCTGGAAAGCTGTCTAGTTTTTTGTGACACCGCAAAGGTCCAGCTGAATAGATCGCATGTCCGGTGCACAACTCCGTGACTAAAGTTCATGAATCAAATATGGCGATATGACGAAAAAGTCACTCTTTGGTGTCCCGCGTGCGCGCGGTGATTGAGGATTGCCATTGTTTGATGTCAGCGGCCCAGTCGCCAAAACCGTCAGACTTTAACAGAGGCTGGCCACCTGCCTAGTCAGACTTGCTGCGCCAGCAGCTAGGTAAACTCTTCTAAAGCTCGGTCCGATCATGGATCGTGGACCGTAGACTGTGACCGATCTACTTCGTGGAACCCGAAGATGAGCCTCTGGGCCCGGACATAGAGTCAGGATTTGATCTGGGCGCAACACAACGGGCCTAATGATCCAAACGCTGCCCTAATTTTGGGCACCTCTGCCAGCTTGTAGGTTGCAGATAAATTGCATATTGGATGGATGGGGAAGACCGGTCCCTCTACTGTGCAAGAAACCAATAGCTATGAGTGCCTTTTGAGCCCCTGCTTACCGATCTGCCTGTCCGATTCTGAACGGCATGCTGTACGCAGTTGAGCCATATTCTGCACAACTAAACAGGAGTTACTGTCGGGCCAGCGACCCTCCTAGTAGGTTCAAATGCGGTCGAGTGCGACCTGGGTGCATCACACATGCCATATTTCTAGATCATGGTTTAGTGACGCGCAACCCCTAGGCATCTATTTGCACACGGTCCTTTTGGGCCCCACTGGAGAGTGCTTCATTTTCGGAAATGGTGAGGATATGCACTCGGTTGTGTTTATATTGCGCGGACCCTTGGGTTTTCTGTCAGTCGCCGATCTGATGCGCTGATATACAGCGCGCGAACCATCTGCGGATATTTCTTTCGGGTGTGACAGGGGATGGAGTTAGGCGGGGACAGCGCCCCCGGGGCTTAAGGGCCGAGAGTTAGGTCGCACATGTATATATTAGCTCTTCTGGCTCCTCGTCCAGGGACTTCATCTTGACCATAAAGCCCCTTTCGAAACATAGAGCTATCAAGGATGCAGCTGCAAGACGACATAGCGGCAATCGCCAACGAGCTCAAAGTCTTCTTGCGATCACTAACAATAGCTTTCGAGCTGGGAGATGTCTCCGCTTTTATTGATTTGTTCCAGCCTAATGGATACCTTCGCGAGTGAGTGGAATCGTTTTGGCCTTCCCTTCGCTGGCTAGATGGATTCTCAATGCGTACATGCACATTTAAAAGTATCTTAATCTGCGCGTGGAATTACTCTTCGGTCGCTAAGGGACGCATGGTGGAATTCTTCGATGCATGTGGTGGTCTGCCAAACATCAAACCCACCTCTATCAAGATAGATGATACCAAAACTTCGCCAGCAAGGTACAAGTCGCAATTTAGGGGGATTGAGTACGTATTAGCCCGTTCCCCACCTCTAATCTTGTTCTCCCCACACCTGGATCTAGCTAACCCATCCCTCCCTCAACCGGGATGTCTTCAATATTCATTTAGGGGTTTTTTCGTCTTTGAAACTGAGGGAGACGGACTTAACGGCGTCGGAGTCGCTCGTCTTCAATGGGACAATGCCTCTGGGAAATTCAGAGCGCTCACGCTGTCGCTGGTGTTGGATTCATTCAAAAGATATGTCGAACTCTCTGGTGCTAAAAGACCCATAATTACTCTAACATCTGAGCGCCAAGCCAAGGTCAACTGGCACGAAAGGCGCATGCTGGAATCATCCTTCACTTCCCCTTCTCCGAAGCCAAACCCAGATGTCGTCATCGTCGGTGCTGGTCATGCAGGCTTAATGATCGCAGCTAGGCTCAAACGATTGGGGATCGTCTCACTGATAATTGAGAAAAGCAGTCGCGTCGGAGACGGCTGGAGAAATCGATACCATTCCCTGAAACTCCAAGATACCGTTTGGATAAACCAGTTTCCGTACCTTCCATTCCCCGATGACTTTCCGGTTTACCTTCCCAAAGACAAGTGAGTGCTAGCAGGTCTTCCAAAAGCACCTTTGGGACTAAAGGATATGCTTGCAGATTTGCTGATTGGATTGAGATATACGCCACAGTCATGGACCTTAACATTGTAAGCGGTTTTCATATTGATGATCGCCTATTTCCTCCGTATCTGATTCCTTGGGGTTGATGCCTCAGTGGCTAGATTCTTCCATTGTTCCTGGCACAGCTGCTTATGATAAAGCATCTGAGAACTGGACTCTTGAAATACAGCGAGCCGATGATTCTAAACGTGAGATCAAGTGCAAGCATGTTATTCTCGCTACCGGTCATGCGTGAGTTCAGAAGCGACAGGTTGTCACGCCAGCATGTCTATTAACAACCCTTAGGTCGGATCCACGCATTCCTCACTTTGAGGGCATGGAGAAATTCAAAGGACCAGTGCATCATTCCAGTTTTCACAAAAATAGTGGAAATTGGAGAGGGAAGAAGGCAGTAATTATTGGTGCCGGAGTCTCAGGTACAGTTTCAATTTCCAGTCCTCAATGCTGCCTTGTCATTTGGAATATTTGTTTGCACATTAGGACATGATATCTGTCATGAACTCCACAACGCTGGAGTAGAAGATATCACGATGGTGCAGCGATCCTCCACCTGTGTTATCAGCCAAGAAAACGGACTACCTAATGTGGTATCTGGCTACTTCGAGGGTGGTCCGCCTGCGGAGGTATAGCGTTTGTTCCTTTCTTTTTGGCGGCACGCTGATTTTATGTTACCACTGTCGTGTGTAGGAAGCGGACCTTGCCAGCATATCGTTCCCTTTCAATGCGCTCGAGCCGTTTGCTAAAATCGGTCATGCGGCAATCAACGAAGCAGATAAGGCAATGATCGATGGTCTCGAGCGTGTTGGATATCAGATCGCAGACAAGGGAGGTCCTGGACTTTACTGGAGTTTATTGCGAAAAGGTGGTGTGAGTCGATCTTGTCACCATATTTGCATAAGCTTCAAAGGGGTTCTTATGAGCTTACATTTAGGGAACTTATCTGGACGTTGGTTGCACCCAATTAATAATCGATGGGAAAGTGAAGATCAAGCAGGGCGCTGAGATTCAATGCTTTGAGGAGAATGGCGTTCGACTCGTGGATAGAAGCTTTCTTGAAGCGGATATCATCATCTTAGCTACTGGTAGGTGCGCATATGTATGAGGGAAATCCCCTCGAATTGCTGTCATGAACCTAATTCTCCATTTCTTAGGGTATCTATCTATGCGCGAGACGTGCCGAAAAATTTTTGGGGATGAGATTGTCGATCAGACTGACCGTGTATGGGGTCTTGATGCCACAGGCGAAGTGAATGGTATCTGGAGACAAACAGGTTGCCCCGGGTGAGTCTTAGCAGTTCTCGGTCTGCCCGGCTTTTATTGAAGTAGCGGTTTTCCCATTGCCATTTTCCCTCTTCTTATTGGCACCAAACATCAAGTTTCTGGTATACGGGTGGGGTAAGTCTTATTTAGTCTACACATGCACCAATTTATTAATTATCCTTTCATTCAGACTATCCTACTGTCGCGTATTCATTCCAAGTATCTTGCACTCTGGATTAAAGCAATTGAGATGGGACTCGCTCCGAAGAGCAAACTCTAATTATTTGTACAGTTAATTCCTGGTTGAGACTAGCTATGTTGGACTATCCCCCTTCCATCCCGCAGTAGTCATTTTTAGAAGAATCTTCTGTGTCCGAATCTTGAGAAAAGTGCCTACAAGCTAATACAATAGTCCCACCATCGTCTGAGCAAAGAATCTTCCAGAAATCTGATCTTATGAGGACGCTAGGTACCCACTCTAAGATCTTGTCAGTGGTCACCTTGTACAGCCAATATATGGGCTTTTGGAGGGGAGTACTTTTGTACGGTGATGTCCTAGCTGGCTGAATGTGGCGCTCGTCGCGTCATGAACATGGCAGGCGTGATTTATGTGCCTGCAAAGCTTATGAAGCGTCTTAAGTGGCTAGAGTTCGAGAATCCAATCGGGCGAAAGTGTTCACACAACTGCAGGTATCTTAAATTGCAACTTGGTCGGTTCGGTATCCGGAAGCTCCCAAATGAGCAGCGAGCAGCGCTAAGTTGATTGTGCATGTGTCACCTATCTTGATGCGCACGTAACCCTCAAAGCTATAGCTTCTTAGTAGGCACTACAGAGGTGACATTTAGCCATGATGTCTGGATCCGACAAGACAATTGGATTATTACTGTGAACGCGTTTAGGTGCTTCTATATATGTACGTACATTTAGGGGAGTTTGACGGTATCATTGGGTTTTCCCTCAAATAAGGAAATCCTATTTCGTTGAGCCCTGATCTATCATCTGACCACATTTTTTAGGAAGCTACCCGATAAAATCAGGATGGCCGATTTTTTTGCAAAGGGCTGTAAAGGACATACCCCTGATTATCATGAAAACTCTCGTTCCTCTTGCTACCATTTTCCCCGCCTCACAGCGTTTCATTGTAGACTGAAGATGCCGTTGTCCATTTCCTCCAAGCTCACAGCGCTTCCTTCCCGGATCGACCCCAGGCGCAAGAGTCTAAGGCACTCTTTCATGCCTATGTCTCTCCAGAATGCATATGCTGAGTATCGGAATCTCGAAGGCTTTGCTTCCTGCGGGGATGAAGGATGGTAGCAGAAGGGTGATGAGCACAGGGCATGTGCCTTGTGTCAACAATGCCGGGACTACCATCTATGGCCCCCTGAGTGCTATTCCCGAATTCAGCAAAGCATCGGGAGTGAAAACCACCTCGAGACTTACGCCGCCTACCCCTTCACGATCTTCCCTCGGTACTTCCTGCGCTATTGGACTCAATTAGATCGGCAAGAGATACCGAGCTTGATCATTACGCCTCCTGATGAGGATGGTTTCAGTGGAAAAATTTTGGGAGAAGACTCATCTTGCGTTCGTACCAAGACGCGTGGGTTCCTGAGTGAATGCGACCTTGGATGTTGATATGACCAAGTCAGAGGATGAGCCTCCGAGGGGACAGTCGAGGCTGAAGAAGGTATGTCGTGTTACCCTTGATTCGTTTAAGGCAGGTTCTCCGCAAACCGGCTCCGTTACGCAGCCCCAGCAAACCTAAAACATTCCCCCAGTACATCCTGCAAAAAATCACGTGTTTGACGAATATGAAAATGATGATATTTTTTGAATCCGCCAATTACAACATTGCGACATGAAGGAAATGAATAGGATGCAAGCGTGAAGACGCACGGGCAGGTGCCCGGGCGCCTTGGGGCATTTAAGGGAAGGGAAAAGAAAGTTGCGTACAGTAAGAAGAAAATAGTGGATGAAGATTGCTGAGGCCAGAATAACTATTCATATAAATAAATTGGTTCGAGGTTCCTAGTGATGGTGGTTTGGCTTAGCGGCTACTGCTGTCTTCTCTTCAATTCTGTGTTTAGAGGATTCTGGTTCGAATCCTATGTGATACTGTCTCTCTTTTTTTTTTGTTTCTCCCTTAGAAAACTTTTAAGATCAAAAGGGGTGATCAATGTGTACATTGGGCAGCTGCTTTTGACTTCGTGATCAACCCCGGATCCGTGGCTAAAATGAACCCTTTATATATTACTTTTAAGGCCAAGTACATGTGAGGTCTACTTGGTCTAGTGGGTTACAGCGCTGTTTATAGACCCCTCTGCTTGTGCAGGTTCGATTCATTCTTGGTGGGGTTTTTTTTGCCAGAGTTACAAGGATGACTTCAATGTATATATAATAGCGATAAGCAATGCTACACTAACTACACTAAACAAACCCGATGCCGAGCATGTTCTACAATACACAAGCGTTGTGATGGTAATTAATAATCTTGGTTTTGTAATTGGGTTGGGTTGGGGAATGACAGGGAGGGGACGACGTGAAATGAATAATTATTACATAATAACGTCCCATGTAGGCAATGGTCATTTTTTGTTCGGCCCTGATCACGTGTATATTTCCTTTTGCGCTCATCTCAGGGGGGTTTTGTAGGTTTTCTATTTTTGAACTATTTTTGCTTTCGGCACATGATCTTTGCAGGACGTACTGGGGGAATGTTTTAGGGTTAGTACGCAGCCCCTTCGGAGACATTTTGGCTGCTATTAAAGACTCCATCGAGGAGTCCGAGAAAAGGCCTGATCAGGATGAAAGGATCGGGTTCAGAGGCGTCATTGGGGAGCCAGGCGTCTCAGGTATGTTCTTGTCTCTCTTACCACGGACAAGAGTGAGAATCGTACTGCGTGCGAGGCATCTTTAGCCCCCACGGAAGCTGATCATGACCCACTGGCACTGGGCCCCAAGACTGGATGGCGACGTTGAAGTAACCGTCGGGTTTTGTTCCTGCTCAACTTTGCTCGGCCATGTGCTGGGGAAGAAGTCGCTTAGTCGTAAACTCTCTCGCATCGCCACGAAAACACCTTCGATCGTGAACCTCTGGGGTCGCCCACGTGACACCATCTCGAAAAGAGAGGGAAAACGTCTAGTGAGATTGAAAAACAACAATACCATCCCCCATTCCCCCCAAACCGCTTCCCCTTCCCACGCACGATCTCCTAACCATGGATGATCAAGAAAAGTTTGACACAGGAGGGAAAGCAGGGCTCCAAAAGCCAGCTAACCCTGCTAACTTGAGACAGTCTAGCATGAAGCGAGATATGTACAACACGAACTCGAGCACGCCACTCCAGCCGCACCAATTGCCACGTCGTGGTACCAAAACTACAGCAAGAGGACAAACAGGCTCAGCCAACAGTAGCCTCTGGGGCGAAGCGGCAGCGACTAGTACCCCAGAAATGCAACTGCTCCGCGACAAATTTGCTGAACACCCTTATCCGATTGCGCCAGTCTCCAATCAACTGGACATTACAAGCATCCCGATGTCATGGCCCAGCACCCCAGACATGGAATGACACGCTGTACCAATGGAAGACAGCACACACACCACAGATCCTCAACACTCCCCAGAAGCCGAACACCAAGAACGGTCCGACTCGGAGAACGAAGAGATGTGGATGGAAGACCTGACCCCTGAGGATGAGGAACACGACAGGAACTGGAAGCTTTTGGAAGATGCGTCCACGAGTATGAACGAGGTTACGGAGAGACTATCACTTGTCGGCCTTGCAGGCCTGTGGGAACAACTCCTCCCAACGTACCCCCATTGGTTCGCAGGACTGCCCAAAGCCACATACAAAAGCCATGGCGAGAAGATGGTGGGAAAAGACCTAGAAAGCCGTCTGGCAGAGGCAGAAGCTAATGTCTCCAACCTCGCTTCAACTAACGCTTACCTATTGAAATCCTTAGAATCCAAGGTGACCACGGCCCAAACCCAACCCCTGCCAGAGAGGGACCCGGATACCGTAGCGAAACCAATGGTGGCCCCAACCGAGTCTTGGGCAAGCGTAGCAGCAAAGAATCCACCGAAACCGCAACCCAGACAGGCAACAGCAAAGAAACAGACAGTGAAACCGCTAGACCAAGCCCATGAAACAGCCACACAGGGAACGGAACACAAACAGATGGCAGACCTGTTAGAAGTTAGGAATGTTGATGTCCCATACTTTGGGCGCACAGACCTGCAGCCGCCAAAGATCTTCCATTATTCCTTTCTTGTCTTTCTTGTAGATCGACATTGCTGTAGGCTTAAAAGCCACTGGATGCAACCTTTTCTTGCTTCCCTCAGTTCTACTCTCGTGAACTGAGGTGAGGTCTACCTTTTCTTATGCGACTACTCGTTACTGAGAGATCGTGTACTTTACTTAGCATTTATTGTCCACTAGGTACATTAATCACATCTAGTTCTACTCTCGTGAACTGAGTGCTGTAGGAGGGCACAGCAAGTACCACACAAACAAGGCCAGAAACATGTTTTTCAAGGCTCCAATGAGCCCCCTCAAGCATACAACACAATCCCAATGCCCATGACACATTTTAACATTTTTCCCAATTTTTTTCATGCTTTTTTCTCAAGACTCATATTGCCACTTCCCCAAAATCCACTGTTATCTACCATTTTCCCCATATCTCCCCCAAATCTCTACCAATTCACATGATTTTGAGCTCGATGGACAGCGACGAATCAGGAGAAGAGGATGGAATGACAGGACAGGAGTTAGGACGATGGATATGCGGTGGAGAAGCGAGGTTGATGGTTGATATTGACCTTATGGGCCTCAATTATTGATTTTACTGTTACCTTGTGGACATTTTTTTGCCTTATTGTTTCTTAGCCGAGTTCTCAATATTCTTCCTGTTTCCATTGCCACCATCCATCGGCTATTTTCCTTGTTTTTTGTTCTGATTTCTCTTTTTTTCTATATATACACCAAGTTTGCATTGTACTTACAGTTGTTGGACCCCTCTTCTGTGCTACAAAGAATGTGGTGTTGAGCGATCCCTCTATACGTTAAAGAAGCCTCCTGACGATGTAGGCGGGATAATCGCCCACACGCAGAGCCGGCTCGGATATCCATTTTCACCATTCAAAAACCATCTTCATTCGTTCCATAAATCGATACAAACTTGGTACCTAAAAATACTCCTAATTCCTACGAATCCGTCGATGTCAAGATCGTCCCAATCGGTGGAGATTTGGTGGAGTTAAGTGTTGGGGAGGTTGGCCACGGTGCGGGTCACGGGATCTGGTCATGTGCGGGCGTGGGAAGTTCAATTTAGGCAAGCGGGAAGTCAGAAAAGCATGCTTCACACATTCCCAAGGCATCAAATAAATTGGGAAAAATGTTCTTTAGCCGCGTAAAGGTTATTCCCAGCCACATTTCCAGTTTCGAGTACTAATTTTGTGAAATCATTGATAAATTCCCGATTTTCCTCATATTTTCACATTTTTACCATCATTTTGATATATTGGATGATATTCTTTTATTCTTTTGATGCCCTTTTCAAATATTTCGCTTACGATGGGGTCCAGGAGCCATATGGCGCCAATATTTCCCATCAATCATTTCTAAAAATGTTTATTCTTTATAATCCTGTACATACCGGGATTGAAAAATGAAGTTCTCCCCTCCCCCATTTTCTCTAAGGTGCTAGGACGCGTCAGAGTTAGTGTGAGTGTGTCAGGAATTCCAACAGTAGGAGTAAGGGCAGTCGTCTAGCCCACAAAGAGTGGGTAGTGGATACTGAGCCCGGACCTTGCGGGATTTCCGGAGAATTTCCTGGAGTTTTAGGATCGAGGCCAGTGGAGAAAGAAGTTTTTGTGGAGAGTTTCCCCCATGAGCTTGGTTGGCGCTGAGAGCCGCTAGCTCTCTTGCAACGACTGTCCAAGAAGGACCAGGAGTGAGTACATGATTAGTGAGATTTTATTGATTATTTTCTAGCACCTGGACCACGGCACAGTATCAGCACTGTCGCCACCCATCCTTTCCCATCTTCCGACCCAACTCAGACACTACCCCCAGGTCCCTACTCTTTTGCCTGGGCAGCCCTTTTGCCTGGTTACAGCACTTATTGTCCGCTAGTTCTCTCACAAGACCCCCACTGCCTAATCATCCGCATCAACCCCCCCCCTGCAACCAGACCAACGCCCAAATGGCATCGAGATCCATAAGAAGATCAATGACATGCTAGAGAAAAAGAATCTCCCACACTACCTCAGGGTGATGGCAGTGGGATACTCGGTAGCAGGGAACATCAAGGTTACGATGGCCCCAACCTGCAAGGCATCCAACCTACAGGACTATGGGAACGACATTGCGGCCACCATCACAGACAATGAGGTTCTCTCGACTCTACCAGACATGGAACACTACTGTGTGAAAATCAATAAAATACTGTGGTATAACGACCATAGGTTCATTCCCACGGTTTTTGGGGATTGCCGGGTCCTACTGGCATAGTTCATCCTTTGGTGCGACATGTGACAATCACTCTGTGAAGTTCATCTTCTTCTTAGCGCCACATCTCCAAGTATGACCAGAATGGAAAATCATCCTTTGATAGATACAGTAAGCCAGAAATTTCCTTTGGCCTCGCAACACTCATGGATCCCTTCACTTTTACCGTCACCAAGCGATGAATTAGAACCCATGTCATTGGCATCCTCCTCAGGAAAGTCATTATCCAGTTCATGGAGGGCTCAGAGCGAGAAACTGCCTGGCAGAGTGTTGGAGGAACCGTGTGCTATGGGAGGCCAGACGAGTTTTCGTACAGCCACATTCCCACATCCGAGTGAGGAACTCGCCCGGACAGCCACATTCCTGTGGTAGTGTGACTACTTAGTCACAACACCTCTTTTATATTAATTCGGACTAACCCGTGCCAGGCCACGGATATATTCATTCATTTGAATTCATTTCCTTTTCCCTCAGTTCTTCACGCATATTAGCTGAGACTGAGGTTAGTTACATTCCTTTATTACTATTTCCTTTACTATTGTAACTTACAATATGTACATTACCTTTAGCTTCCCGCTTATAGGTAATATATTAGTTCTTCACACATATTAGCTGAGACTGAGTCCAGCTCCGAGATCACAAGTGTCGCTCATCAACACAGAGTGCAGTGGAGGCCATGGTAGAGAATTGATGGCATCAAGACTAAGTGAAGTGACAGTAGGGGTTGTATGCAATATGAATCAGGACATTCTCGGGTGGCAATTGTGGAAGATGAAAATCGAGAAATGTTATCAAAGGGAGTCGAAGGTCAGGCAGGAGAGTCCTAATAAACAATGGCAGAACATCCTCAAAATCACAAGGTTTGGACGCAAGCTCAAGTGATGCAAGGGCAGCTTGGTTTCTTGTAGTAGGGATCCAATCCCTTCGGAGCTGGTGTGCCAAGGGGAGAGGATGAGGAAACCCATCGATTTAGTGGCACGAAATAGATGGTGGGATGGGTGGTAATGACGGACATAATATAGTTGTAGATCCTTCTTCATTAGTTCAAATTTTCATTGCGACATGCAACAATACTACTTTTAGTTCAGTTCAAAACCTTCATGTGACATGCGACTGAACTTATGGTCGTTATACCACAGTACCCACCCACTGCAGCAATGACCCACTCCCAATCAACATGATCCATGAAGAGCTAATGACGTACTGCCCACCTTATGGGGAACTGAAGCAGTGGTGCCCACCCAAATGGCTGGGTTCAGATGCCACCATTTATGCTAAGAATTTTGCATCCATTGTACTGGACTTGACTAACAAAAAAGACAGAGATACACTCTTCCAACTCAGGACAGTGTACTTATTTAACTACAGATGCACCATTACACCGTATGAAGATCATGCTCAAGTCTTTGCATGCAGCAAATGCGGCATGTACTCCCACTGCACGGCCAACTGTGCACAGCCACAGTGCTTAAAGTGCGGGGCAAAGGACCACAACACTGATGACCACCAAGCAGATGTGCAACCTTGCTGCATAAATTGCAAAGAGGCACATGTAAGCACCTTCAAAGAATGCAAGATCAGGAGATGTTAAATTTCTTGGGATACAAGCATACGCTGAGGCCAACTCACGTTGTTGATGTTGAGTCTTGCAGCGCTAAGATCTACTTTGTTTCCCTTTTTTGGATCAGTTGTTACTAAAGTCAGTGCGCATTGATAGCGCCTGACTATAAAACACCAATTTTTGGACCTTACAACTTCTCCTCAGTTCACACATAGCGGACTGAGGTGAGTCTAAGTTTTCTCCTTCATTTATGTGTTTAACAACTTGTATCTAATATTCATACACCAGCGACAACATCGCTAGGTGAATACTTCCAATATATTTCTAGTTCATGCATAGCGGACTGAGCGACAACATCGCTAGTCCAACATTTCGTCTTATAGGTTACGAGCCCCGTTCACTCTGAACTTCGTCCTACCTTGTGAACTCCATATCCCCTTCCTTCCCAATGTCCAACACCACTGCAACCGCTAGTGCAGCTGCCAGTTCCTCAACAACAACCATCTCCCCAGACAGCTCCCGGTTCCCCATTAAAGTCTTAGACAATGAGGGCAAGAATTACCGTTGAAGGAGCGGAGCTGGATCACCTTATGTAACCAGTTTCCTACATCCAATAACGATATTAGAGTTTGTGCTGATTTGCATACTGACCATGTTTTGGTTGCCAAATATATAATTGTTCACTGTCTAAACAACAATAAACACCCCCAACGATCTCACCTGACGTATAGATCGTCTACGGATAAAATTCTATATTGACTTTACTATGATTTCTAGTCAATATTACACCTAGTTATACCACTTTTCAGTAGGACGTGATTTTCCTGATAATTTACTGAAGGAAAACTACTAATAAAATAATTCTGCAATAAATGTTACTCAATACAGGAGTGACCAAACTGCTCTTTCTATCGCTTAGAGTGCATGCTAGTTATCTAGCAGGTTCAGGATCGCTCACTTTTCTCCTGTGGTGTGATAACCAAGTATTGCTGAGAGATTATTCAATTAAGAAGTCCCTCCACCAAATTCTCACTAATTCTCACTATGACACTTTTGTTCAGCTGTGTCTAACTGACCCTAACTCACGCTTAGAGTGACGTGTTAGTTTTATATTAGCTAACAACTAATATTTGCTTTTATCTTTTGGAGCAAACAAACCAACCACTGGTGAGGAGAATTAAACTTTTATTTCTACCTGAGGTTTGAGAGGGGGCAGAAGCGGCGGCCTTTTATGCTTTTCAGAGGCCTCTCTACTCCCACGCCTCACACTAGTTACATGTGCTACATTTGTATTATAGATAGTTCTAGAATGATATAGGGGCTTGGGCTGTGTAAGCTTAATAATGGACTTAGGACATGACTCAGCAATAAGTAATTCATTTCTTTGTCTTTTGGGCCGATCTTAGCG